CTACCTATCGTGTTAAAGGTGTTCGTGATAGATGTATTTTTAGACATTGAACAGACGTAAGTCAGAGATGTAAGAGTTGAATATAACTTGTAAATGTTGCTCTCTTTGTCAGTCCTCCAGATATTGATGTACTCAATGTATACTCTATCCACCGTCCTGTGGAGGAAACTGCCTTTTCTCCCCAGATTGGAAATAATGCTCTTCTTTTCCATGCATCGAAGGTGAGCGCCATTTGCAAAAGTAACGCTTAACTGTCACGGTCTTGTTAGTAATTCTGCACTCTTTCCTTTTCTCTAGTTTTCTTCTATAGTTTTGTGTATGTTAATATTCTGTTTTAATTTTAACCGCGCGTGTACTTGATATCTTAAATCGTTAAAAGGAGACGGTAACAGGACAAGATATTAAATTGATTTACCCGGAGGTTTCCTGTAAGGAAGATACGTGTGCTAATGGACAGTGGAGCTGAAGACAGTTGGCTGCATATATGTAAAGGGTATATGTAATGATGTGACTTTAATTTTATTGCAGGTGGCAAACTTTGTAGGCATACTTTCAAGGTACGTCTTTATGAGTATTATTAAGATTGTGGATTGTTGTTGTTATAACATTGTTCGAAATTATATCGAGCTTTCTTTTCTTCTATTTCTCAAACCCTCAAGAGTCATGTGCAGTATCATATTTTAGAGGAGGAGGGGAACATGTGAGATGTACTTTAAATTTCTTTTAGAGGGCTTCTTATGCCTAAAATTGTCGTGGATGACTTTGGAGGACAACGTTCAGACCCAGGAATGTTAGGAAGTGGGATTTACTTTTCCAATTCTGCCAGGTAGGAGCTACTTGTGTGCTGAATGATCCAGCCTCGATAATCTACAGTCAGTGCCTCTCAATCGATTCAAACAATGTGGTAATCAATAAAAGATCTCCTCAAGGGTTTAACTCTAGAAAGCCACCCCTTTACGGGGCGTTGCGATATCTTCCACCGGTTTTTATTGACTCGCGCCACGTATCACGCTTTGGAGCGGTACTTTTCTTAGTCTGCAGCCAAGATGAAGTTGTCACTTCTCTAAATAAGATACTCCGTCTTTTTTTTTTCTTTTCTTTTTTTTTTTTTTCCGGGGAGGAAGAGGGGCGTTTGCTCCACACATGCTGGATAACCTGAGTTCCATCTCTTACTGTATCTAAGTAGGCGAAGTTAGGAAAGTAAAAAATCAATGGCTTTTGGTGACAACCGTTTTTCTTATATCAAAATTAAGCTCAAACCTCATCATTTTCTTACTTTTTCTCATACAGCACCAGTGCCAAGTACTCGGCACCTGGAAGCAAGGGATCAAGGCTTATGCTTGTGAATGAGGTCGCCTTGGGTAAAGTCAAGGTAACAATCTTGAAACTCATAGTAACACGAGAGGCTTCTAAAAAACCTTTTAGGATGATGATGAACAACACAATATACCATAGCCTGTATGAAGCGTCCTGTATTTCCTCTTTTTCCTACGGAAAACGCTCTGATGAAGTAACAGAAATGGGTGAGTTCACATTTCACATGTAGGTCGCCCAAACTATGTGGTTTAAGTTCGAGTTACCCCCAAATTGCAGTCAGAGCTTGTTGCGGTTTTTGTTGCTTGAAACTTGAAACGACCAAGAGTATTGCTACTGCATCTTGATGGGACGTAGGGTTATCTCAGGTTGCCCCCCCCCCTTCCTCTCTAGCCCTTCCTCCCCCCTCGCCCATTTATACTCATGGGTGGAGAGAGGCTCTGTGACAGTAAAGTGTTTCTCCAAAGTAAACAGCACTATAGTTCTGACCAGAATTCGAACTCTTACAATGTGATTGTGAGTCTGGTACCTGAACGTTAATCGTCGAGCCTCTATGTTCGATCCCAAGGGAAGGGGGGTGGGAAGCCAATTAAGATGTTTCTATTGGTCAATAAGGTGTGACGTTCAAAGCACAAGCAACAACCGATGTAATTGGTGTTTTGTGGTTCCTCAGGAGTTCAAGACATTTACCATGGATTTGACCTCGCCTCCACCAGGTTATAGCAGCTGCCATGGAGTGAGAAACACGGATAATGAGCCTTCTGACTTTAAGGTCGGTTGTGTACGCATTTAAAGTAAGCAAGTTGCTTCCACCAGACTGCTGTAACTGACAAAATCGTTTTTAACTCGTGAATTGCGCGCATGCGCAAGAGCGAGTTATAGATAC